TGCTGAGCTTTTCCAGCAACTCTGTTTTTGTTCTGTAGAACAATGTCTAGTGACAAGGATGAGGTTTACTTTCTACCATGCTTTTGAGTGATGACAATGACACAGTATTGTCTACAGAGTGATGGTTTGATTTTTGATTCTCCAGCCGATCAGTCTAACATAGCTGTGTTCCTGTATTAGAATTTTTAGTAAGGATTTTTTTGTTTTATTTTTCACTCCGAGAAATGCCTTTTGTTTGCAGGCTACTGAATGCACACTTGGAGACAGGTCTGTAATAAACTGTAGGTGGACCAACCAGAAGACTGTCATTAGGCAGCTTGTTTCTTAGAAGGTGGTGTTACTCTGTCTCAAAGTATCCAGCTCACTGCTGCAAATGTACACCACACAGTCATGTTTGATCTTCAATACCACTCTCCTGGTACCTTTTAGCTATACGGGCGGTCCCTGGATTGCAAATAAGTTCAGTCTGGAGTCTATTCACAGGCAGATTTGCATACAAGTTGGAACACAGTGCAGGACATGTTCGTATGTCAGGTCTTTAAAATTGAACCCCTGTATTGGGTTTATTTGTAAAACAGGTGTTCGTAAATTGGGGATTCCCTGTACAACAGTGTCCAACTTCCAGTTGATAGTCCAAACGGAAAGAAAAATAAAATGTGTAGTCTCTTGCACCTGGGAAGGAAAAAGACCCTATCCCGGGAAAGGGGTAATTTACTAATACAGGATCCAGGGAAATGGACAGTTAGGCAGGACTGCCTCCCAGGAAAGCAGGAAGTGTATTTGGGACTAGAAGTAAAATAGTGAGTGTTTAGTACCCAGAATTTCATGGCGAATGGAAACACATCCATGTCGCTGTTTGAGAATGAAGAGCAATTTGCTCCAATTTAATCAATGCTAACCATCAAGTTAATTGACTGTTCATCAAAGTGCCCTTTGCAGAGTCCTGCTGTGTCCAAACTGAATGTGCCTCTTTCAGTAATGGTGCATTTGGGAGCAACTGATTGGATGGGGAAGTGTTTAGGGATCTCTGAAAAGTGATAAATGTTCAGAGAGGTTTGGGGCCAGTGTTTTCCCAGAGAGTGGCCAGGGCGATGGTCCCAGCAGTATTCACAGGAACCTTTCAAAGAGCCCTGTGTTTGTAAAAGGAATGTTGGGAAGTTTACAGGGAATGCGGGTGTGAGTGGGACGAAGCCTATCGCTCTGTCAGAGAGGCAGCCTGAGCTATCAGCTGGGTGTGTGAAAACATGATGTGCAGGTGCCTGTGATAGACTGGTGTAGACAAGGTCAGAAATCACACAACAGCAGGTTTATTTGAAAACACAACTTGGTGTAATGTGTGAAAACAGTTTAAGATCTCTTCCCCAGTTTGACAAGTCAGTTGTTTCTCAGTCTCTTTCCCATCAGTGGAGATTGGAGACTGGTTGCACAGGTCATACTATCAGTACAAGCCTGCAAGAGCCCTGTGTGGTACAGGCAGAATGAGAGCTGCAGGGTTCCTTAGCCTGCTGACTTGTGACAGGTAGGGATAATCCAAGACCTGGAATGATAGTGTATCAAAGGGAGATGTCATTGTGGTTTGCAGCAAGTTGGGACTGAGAATCCCCATGAAATCCAGTTCTTTATCAATGCTTTCAGAAACCCTTCCTTACCCTCCTGCCGCAGTGCTGTTGTGACACCCTGTGATAAATCTGTGCATTAGTGAAGGTTTATAAGACCGGCCGTAATTGCAGAGTTTAGACTGTCATGGAACTGAAAGCATTGTTCAGCAGTTAGAATCAGAATGGAAGGAGGCTGTTTGGAAATTTGAAAAGGGTTCTGCGGTTAGTCCTGCTCCCTGTAATGATTGACGAATGTGAACTGTATCCAGTTTCACTCACACGCCTCTGTGGCACATTCTGTGGACACTTTTCAGAGGGTAGCCAGGGTGGGAGACTCTGCTCGCTGTCTCCCTCCAGTGGCAGAAAGGTGCTGCTGCAGCGGCACTGCCAGTTCCATCGGAGAGACTCAGACCAGCTCCTGCATACCAGTGACCACTCGGACACTGCAGCTCCAGGAGATTCCAATTTCACAGGATCGCCCCTTCCCCACTCACCAGCACACCCCCTCTCCACAAAGCCCTATTTGACAGCACCTACTCTCTCCACCCAGTGTGTCCCCGCAGCGCCACACCCCCATTCCATACCACACATACTCCTCGCCATGACCCTACGTCACCTCTCCCAAAAAAAAAGTCCTGCATCCTGCAGTGGCAGAGCCATCATGCTCTATGCACTGCTGTGAGAGTGCTGGCTCGCTGTGTGCATTTCAGGGAATTTGTAATACTGTGTGCAATTCTGGTCTCCCTGCTATAGCAAAGATGTTGTTAAACTTGAAAGGTTGCAGAAAAGATTTACAGGGATGTTGGCAGGGTTAGAGAGTTTGGGCTTTAGGGAGAGGCTGAATAGGTTGGGACTATATTCCCTGGAGCACCGGAGGCTGAGGAGTGACTTATAAAGGTTTATAAAATTATGAGGGGCATGGATAGGGTAAATAGGCAGGGTCTTTTCTTCCCCCAGAGTAGAGGTGTCCAAAACTAGAGGGCATAGATTTAATGTGAGAGGGGTGAGATTTAAAAGGGAGGGGCAACTTTTTCACACCAGGGTGGTGCGTGTATGGAATGAGCTGCCAGAGGAGGTGGTAGAGGCTGGTTCAGACACAACATTTAAAAGGCACCCGGATGGGTACGTAAAGAGGAAGGGTTTAAGAGGGATATGGGCCAAATGCTGGCAAATGGGACCAGATTAACTCAGGATATCTGGTTGGCACGGACTGGTTGGATTGGGGGCCTGTTTCCATGCTGTATAACTCTGTGGGGACTAATATGGGTTGTTTTTCTACCCCCTGACCTCCCTCATTTTGTTTTGCAGGTTGTGGTGACGAGGCCTGGGTGATGGCTCAGACTCTGCAGCTGGAGATTCCCAACTTTGGGAACACGGTGCTGGAGTGCCTGAACGAGCAGAGGCTGCAGGGCCTGTACTGCGACACCTCCATCGTGGTGAAGGGCCAGACCTTTAAGGCCCACCGTGCTGTGCTGGCAGCCAACAGCTCCTACTTCCGGGACCTGTTCACGGGGAGCGCCCGGGCCGCATTCGAGCTGCCGGCGGCCGTGCAGCCTCAGAGCTTCCAGAACATTCTCAACTTCTGCTACACGGGGAGGCTGTGCATGAAGGCGGGAGAGCAGTTCATGCTGATGTACACGGCCGGCTTCCTGCAGATACAGCGCATCGTAGAGCGTGGCACCGAGCTACTGTCCAAGGTCAGCTCGCCGAGGTGTGACTCGCAGGGCCTGAGTGTCGAGGAGCCCGCCTGGGAACCCCCCAGCCCTGCGGCTGCCCCTCACCCTCTCCCCCTGCCCCTCGCCTCCCGCGTCAAGGTGGAGCAGAGCGAGGGGGCAGGGCCAGGAGCTGGGGCAGCCCGAGGCCGCCGGGCCGGAGAGGGACCCTCGGGGGGCAGCGCCAAGTCGGCCCGTCTCTCCCACGAGGGACCGGCCTACCCCGCCGGCCTGCCCCGCGATCTCTCCAGCCCTGGAGCCAGCAGCGTCCACCCCAGCGACAGCCCCTTCTCCTGCCAGAACGACGAGGACGACGAGGAGGCGGACGAGGAGGCAGCGGCAGCGGAGGAGGAAGGGCTGGAGGACATGACCGAGGAGCAGTACGTCCAGATGTGCAGCATGTACAACATCATGAGCGTCCCCCACGTCGGTAAGCTGTGCGCGTGCCGAATACCCCTCCACACCCACGCCTGTACCAACTCACTCCTGCACCCACACATGCATACCTGCCGGCACCCACCCACGCGTCCCCACGCCCACACCCCCGCCACCGCACCCCCGCCAACGCCCCCCCGCCAACGCACCCCCGCCAACGCACCCCCGCCAACACACCCCCACACACCCACTCCTCCTCATCTCCGTCTTGCCTGCACCCCAACCCTTCCCCCCCAGCTTTACCCTGAGGTGGTTCTGTAGTTACTGGGGGGTGGGGTGGATGGAGGTACATAATATCTACATCTACCCTGTCACACCCTGTAAGAGTTCGATACGTTTCAGTGCCCATCATTCTTCAAAGCTCTCCGGAATACAAACACAGCTTCCGCACCCTCCCCTCATAAGACATACTGTCATTCTGAAAATTAATCTGGTGAGCCTCCATTGCACTGTTTCTCTGTTATAAGCATGTCCTTCCTTCACATAAGGAGACCAAAACTGCACACAAGCATCCAGGTGAGGTCTCACTAAGGGTCTATACAACTTCAGCAAGAGATCTTTTCTTCTGTACTCCCCTCCCCTTGAGATGAAGACCAACATACCATTTATCTTCTTAATTGTTGGCCGTACCTACATCTTAGTTTTCAGTGACTCATGGACACTGAGGCCCTTTTGGACATCTGCACTTCCCAACCTCTCACCAATTTGAGAAATATTCTGTTTCTCTTCTTTTTCTTCCAATTTGATACTTGCAAACTATATTAATGAGATGGATAAAGGACTGACGTTTGTAGCCATCTTTGCTGACAGTACAAAGGAAGGTGGGGAAGCGAATTACGAGAAGGACCTGAAAGGTCTGCAAAAGGCTGTAGATAGGCTCAAGAATTACCAAATTTCAAACCGTCACAGCAGGTAGACAGGATAGTGAAGAAGGCGTTTGGTACGCTTGCCTCTATTGGTCAGTGCATTGAGTATAGGAGTTGGGAGGTCATGTTGCGGCTGTACAGGACATTGGTTAGGCTACTTTTGGAGTACTGCATTCAATTCTGGTCTCCCTGCTATAGGAAGGATTTTGCAAAACTTAAGAGAGTGCAGAAAAGATTTACAAGGATATTGCCGGGACTGGAGGGTTTGAGCTGTAGAGGGAGGTTGAATAGGCTGGGGCTTTTTTCCCTGGAGCTTCAGAGGCTGAGGGGTGACGTTATGGTGGCTTATAAAATCATGAGGGACGTGGATAGGGTGAATAGCCAAAGGTCTTTTTCCCAGGGTTAGGGAGTCCAAAACTAGAGGGCATGGGTTTAAGGTAAGAGGGATAAGAGTTAAAAAGGACCTGAGGGGTAACTTTTTCATGCAGAGAGTAATGCGTGTTTGGAATGAGATGCCAGAGGAAGTGGTGGAGACTGGTATAATAACATTTGAAAGAGACTTGAGTGGATACTTGAATAGGAAGAGTTTAGAGGGATATGGGCCAAATGCTGGCAAATGGAGCTAGATCAGATTGGGATATCGGGTTCATGTGGATTAGTTGGACCGAGGGGTCTGTTTCCGACCTGTACGACTCTGTGAATCAGATGAAAATTGGTAAGTCTCCAGTACTAGATGGTTTGCACCAATGAGGTTTTGACAGATGTATTCTTCTGTGATGAAGATATGGCTTTTGAGAAGAGCTTTCATTATCCATCACTAATTGCTCTTGAGAAAGAATTAGTGGTGAACTGCCTTCACTGCAGTCAGTCCATTTGGTTGAGGTGCACTTGCGGTGTTGTTAGGGAGGAAATTCCAGGATTTTGACCCGGTGACGCCAAAGGAACGACGATATACTTCAAAGTCGGGATGGTGAATGGCTTGGAGGGGCATTTGTAGGTCACGTTGCCATGAATCTCCTGCCCTTGTCCTTGTAGATGGAGTAGTCAGTTTGGAAGGGAGAGCCTTGGTGAGATGTTACAGTGTATCTTGTGGAGGTGGTATGCTTGGAAGGAAGCGTCAAGAAATGGAGCAGCAGTGTTTTTGAAAAATTGGATGAGGAAGTTGTTGATGCTTTACTTCGCTTTGGGATTTATCACCCCGAATCAGAAAAGAGCCAATGTCACTCAATTGTTTAGAAAAGGCACAATGGTAGACTAGGGGTCGCTGAACCTTGCAGCCTAGCAGCAGGGATGTGTTGAAGTTACTCCAGTCTGACAGGAGGATTGAGTATCTGGATGATTAGGAGCTGCTCAGAGAGAGGCTTCATGAAAGTGAGGGTGCACAGAACTTGACGTAACGTACCACCTTGCATCGGGAATTGGTTACAAGACTGGAGACAAAGCAGAGGGGTGCTGGATGATGTGCCACTTGGTGGAAGAAGCCAGTGGTGTGTTTGGTGGGAAGCGGGTCAGGGATGGAGGAACACGCAGGTCAGGAAGAGTGGCTGGGAATGGGCCATGCGAACTGTTGGAAGTTCGTTCTGTGGTAGGAACCTTTGGCATCATGGAGATGCTGAGATCTTCTTTGAGGCAGGTTTTGCCGTGATTGTAGGGATGGATTGGCCTGGCGGGTGAACAGTGCAGTTTCCAGCTGGGGTGGGGGTTAGGGGGTGCGGTGGGGGGGGGTAGGGAATCTCACTGCTCGGACCATCCGGGGCCTGACCTGGGGACGTAGGCCGTCAGCAGCCTGTCGTTTTACATCCTGCCTCTTTCTCTTCCAGCCCAACAGGAGAGGGTGGAGGCACTGCCTGACCACGTGGACGGCCGATCGAGGATGAGGATTCGCCACGACCTGGCAGTGCTGCCGGCCGATCTCATTAACCAGATCGGCCATCGCTGCCACCCCAAGCTGTACGTGGAGGGAGACCCAACCGAGAAATTCGAGCTGGTGACAGGTAGGCAGCAAACCATCAGCCTGTCACCGGTACACACCGTGTTAAACTGTGCTGACCCGGGGTGGACCGAGTCAATCCGCACTGACCTGGGGTGACTAGATTAAACTGGACTGACCAAAGTGAGCCAGGTTACATTATAGTATCTGCTTGTTGTGTTGCCAATGGCCTTGTGGTTTGCGTGAGGGTTTTGTGGATTCACTGCTGGGAAGGAGGGTGTTGTTTGTGTGGATAAGTGAGTGAAATCTGCAATGACACGAATGTGTAATGGCTGTAAGAGACAGAGGCGGGTTGGGGGGGGTGGGGGGACGCGCTAGCTGCCAGCTTTCCTCCCCTGATGCTCATCAATGGCTCCACTGATCCTGTATGCTGCATGGAGGGGAGAACAAGGAGCTGCACTGTGCAGCAGTGACCATGCAGCAGCGCCTTGTTGTAAAGTGTTAGGATTGCCACAGAAACCAACAACTTTGCAAAGAGACTAACTTCCCAAACTCTCTAACTGAAATAACCAGGCTAGTTTTCACTTTCTAAGACATTACCAGAGCAAATAATCTAAATTCAGGTGTAATTCCAATGTTAACTTAAAACAGGGTCGTACCTCAATTTAAAAAAAAATGGTAAAGTTTCTTGAACTGGACATAAGTGTGACCTGGAAGGACAGTCTACTAGTTTCTCCCAGCTCTGTGCACCGTGGAATTTTCCAAAATCCATCTCCAACCACTGCACGCCCACTGAGTATCCAGACCGGATTATCACCAGCAAGGTACAACACAGTGATTTCGCGCCCCTGCCAACAACCAGAGTTCCAGAGAATCCTGTACCTAACCCCTTTAAACAGTTTATTCAGCTTTGGTAGAAACACAGGGAAACACAGAAACTGCAGGGAATTTTGCTTCTGCTCCCGCTGCAGGGAAAATTCTGATTCCTTCCTCCCTGCTTCCTGACAGCAGCTTATTCAGTCCTGTTTTACTTCTGGGATTATTGTAGAAACTATGTGGCTGTACACACTCAACGGGTTTCCCCATCCTCTCTCTCCTGCACTCTGTGTCATGGGAACCTGAGAGCACACTGACACTTTCTCGACTGAGGTATCGACGAGGAATTCAACCATCCCCTCCTTTTCCGAAATATGTTTCACTTTGAGTTAGAGGGACATAATTGTTTTGCAAAGTTCAGTGTTCATGACAGTGTACTGTCTTTATTGTAGGTAGGAAAAGGGATGGGGATGTAAGGCAGGAATTCAAGGAGCTAGGGTGGAAGCTGAGAGCTAGAACAAACAGAGTTGTTATCTCTGGTTTGTTACCTGTGCCACGTGCTAGCGAGGCGAGGAATAGGGAGAGAGAGCAGTTGAACACGTGGCTACAGGGATGGTGCAGGAGGGAGGGATTCAGATACCTGGATAATTGGGGCTCATTCTGGGGTAGGTGGGACCTCTACAAACGGGATGGTCTACACCTGAACCAGAGGGGTACCAATATCCTGGGGGGGAAATTTGCTAATGCTCTTCGGGAGGGTTTAAACTAATTCAACAGGGGGGTGGGAACCTGAATTGTAGCTCCAGTGTACAGGAGGTTGAGAGTAGTGAGGTCATAAATAAGGTTTCAAGGTTGCAGGAGTGTACCGGCAGGCAGGAAGGTGGTTTGAAGTGTGTCTACTTCAATGCCAGGAGCATCCGGAATAAGGTGGGTGAACTTGCAGCATGGGTTGGTACCTGGGACTTCGATGTTGTGGCCATTTCGGAGACATGGATAGAGCAGGGACAGGAATGGTTGTTGCAGGTTCCGGGGTTTAG